GAGTTGAAGTTCACGAGTCATAAAAGAGCCAAGGTTGCCTACCCCCCCAGTATAGGGTCTACTGCTTAAGTAGGGGGCTGGACTAGAAGACCTTCAAGGACCCTTCCAGCTTCTATTATGTTCTGTTCTTATTTCTATATTCTAGTCTATATAAAAGTATTGAAAGCCATGGAGAGCATAAACATTTATATCTAGATCAAGTTTTAGGCATGCAGAACTGGCACCAAGTAAAAGTTTGCAGCCACTTTTAAAATATTGGGATTTTTTCATTCTGAACTGTTGGGCCCTCACGTACAGGTGGTCAAGAGGGCCCAACACTCGCAATTCGTTTAGGGACTGTTCAAAGTTGCAACAGCACTGAAAGAAGTGACTCTTGAGCACTTTTCACACTTACGACCCTTACAACATCCCTATGGTCACATGATCAAAATTCAGATGCTTGACTGCTGACTCACATTTATGACGGTTGCAGTGTCCTTGGGTCGCGTGATCCCCTTTTGTGACTTTCTGACAAGCAAAGTCAATGGGGGAAGCCAGATTCACTTAGCAATTAGTCACATGTGACTAACTTAACAACTGCAATAATTCACTTCACAATTGTGGCAAGAAAGGTTGTAAAATGGGGCAAAATGTCTCACTTAACAGCATAAATTTTGGGGCTCAATTGTGGTGGTAACCCGAGTAGTTACCTGTATCAGGCACACAGTTCTGGAAGTTTGCAGCCACTTTTAAAATATCAGGATTTTTTTTTTTCACTGTGAGGGTTGGGCTGTTTTTTTATACACATTGTGGTGGCATAGTGTCTGTTGCAGGGCATATAAACATGATAGCCACTGTCTAAATTTTAGCAGTGCTGCAGTGCAGGACAGGATGTAGAGGTTAAAAGCCCAATGGTAGAAACTGGGAGAGGGGGTAAGATCTAGTCCTGCTTTAGCCACAAAGCCAACAGGTGAGGTTTTGGCCAGGCGTCTCTCAGTTCTAGGGAAAAGAGCATTATATATACTACTACTACTACTACTACTACTACTACTAATAATAATAATAATAATAATAATAATACAATGACCTACAAATAGAAATAGAAAGACTGTGGCAAAAGCAAGCAAGGGTAGTACCAATAGTAATAGACGCCTTGGGTGCAATCCCAAAACAACTGGAGCAGCATTTGAACATCATCATCGGCATTGACAAATTCGCCATTAGTCAATTGCAAAAGGCGGCCTTACTAGGAACTGCCTCTATCCTGCGATGATATCTGTAATACCATCCAACATCCACATCTGCCTATCCCAGGTCCTGGGTAAGGACTCGATAGGTAGATCAAAATGCCAAATCCAGTCCGAACATCTGGCTGACTGCGATGATCCATAAAATAATAAAGTTGGAAGGGACCTTGGAGGTCATCTAGTCCAACCCCCTGCTCAAGCAGGAAACCCTATACCATTTCAGACAAATGGCTGTCCAGTCTCTTCTTAAAAACCTCCAGTGTTGGAACATTCGTAGCTTCTGGAGGCAGATTGTTCCACTGGTTAATTGTTCTAACTGTCAGGAAGTTTCTCCTTAGTTCCAGGTTGCTTCTCTCCTTGATCAGTTTCCATCCGTTGCTTCTCGTCCTGCCTTCAGGCGCCTTGGAGAATAGCTTGACTCCCGCCCCCCGTCTTCTTTATGGTAGCCCAAGCAATTTTAAGGTGCATGGACTTCAACTCCCCAAATTCCCAGCCAGATTGCTTCCAGAATTCTGGGAGCTGAAGACCACATATCTTAAAATTGCTACTCTTAAAGGGCAGTGTTTGAAGGAGGAAATTAGCAACAAAGACGATTAGGGGACTGGAGGCTAAAACATATAAGGAACGGTTGCTAGAATTGGGTATGTCTAATTTAACAAAGAGAAGGACAAGGGGGGACATGATAGCAGTATTCCAATATCTCAGGGGCTGACACAAAGAGGGAATTAAGCTATTTTCCAAATCACCTGAAGGCAGGACAAGAAGCAACGGTGGAAACTAATCAAGGAGAGAAGCAATCTAGAACTAAGGAGAAACTTCCTGACAGTGAGAACAATTAATCAGTGGAACAGCCTGCCTCCAGAAGCAGGAGATGCTCCAACACTGGAAGTTTTTAAGAAGAGACTGGACTGCCATTTGTCCGAAATGGTGTAGGGTTTCCTGCCTGAGCAGGGAGTTGGACTAGATGACCTCCAAGGTCCCTTCCAACTTTACTACTATTACTATTACTATTACTAATTCATTTCATTTGAATTTGAGTGCATGGGGAAGGAAAGAGAATGACTTAAGAAAACCTATTGTGCTTCAATTGATGCACTAAGATATGGCTTGCCTTTGCATTCGTTAATGTGTCCGAAGCACTCAATTTTCCTATTATCTCTTAAATGGCTGGGAAATTCTGGGAGTTGAAGTCCAGATATGCTGGCTATGGAATTCTGGGAGTTGAGGTCCAGGCATGCTGGCTGGGGAATTCTGGGAACTAAAGATTCCTAAATGGCAATTCCTACTGATAGAATTTTTACTTTTTTATTTTTATTTTCAATGGTTCAAGCTTTTAAAGTAATGTTAATCATTCTCAATCATAGTTTATAAACTTTACTGTATTGTGTTCAAATCTGCATTGTTGTTCAAACGTACTTTTGCCTACCCCCAAATTCCCTTTTTCGTTAAACTTTGTGATGTATCTTTTTTCATTTTTTTATTCTTACATTTTTTGTTCTTAATTTTTATTAACATATAATTAATAAAATTATGAGGGAGAATATTAGCTCCCCGTAATCTTATGTGTTCTTGCTTTGAGTGTGTAAGGACACTTTTGTGATTGGGTAGGAATATAAGTCCTAATGGACAATCACCTAAATATGAGCCAGTGTGCTGCAGCTGCCAAAAAGGCCAACACAGTGCTGGGCTGCATTAACAGAGGGATAGAATCAAGATCACGTGAAGTGTTAATACCACTCTTCAATGCCTTGGTAAGGCCACACTTGGAATACTGCATCCAGTTTTGGTTACCACGATGTAAAAAAGATGTTGAGACTCTAGAAAGAGTACAGAGAAGAGCAACAAAGATGATTAGGGGACTGGAGGCTAAAGCATATAAGGAACGGTTGCTGGAATTGGGTATGTCTAGTTTAACGAAGAGAAAGACGAGGGGGGACATGATAGCAGTGTTCTAGTATCTCAGGGGCTGCCCCAAAGAAGAAGGAGTCAAGCTATTCTCCAAGGCGCCTGAAGGCAGGATGAGAAGCAACGGGCGGAAACTAACCAAGGAGAGAAGCAACCTGGAACTAAGGAGAAACTTCCTGACAGTTAGAACAATTAACCAGTGGAACAACCTGCCTCCAGAAGCGGTGAATGCTCGAACACTGGAAGTTTTTAAGAAGAGACTGGACAGCCATTTCTCTGAAATGGTATAGGGTTTCCTGCCTGAGCAGGGGGTTGGACTAGATGACCTCCAAAGTCCCTTTACTGTTGTTGTTGTTGTTGTTGTTGTTGTTGTTGTTGTTGTTGTTATTATTATTATTATTATTATTATTATTATTATTATTATATTCAAAGTCCTCAACTTACACCAACAATTTGGACCAGAATTTCTATTGCTAAGCAAGGAAGTTGATAGGTTTTGTCCAGTTTTATGACCTTTTTTGCCATAATTGTTAAGCAAATCACCGCAGTTATTAAGTGAATCAGGCATTCGTTAGTGTGCTATTCCAGTCTCACGTAATGATGGTTTAGTAGGCATATTAATATTAATTATATTCCCCAGCAGTTCCTTTCACCAAAAACCCAGAACTGTCCCAATTAAAGTTCAGCCCAAAGCAGGCCGACGCTAGTCCACCAAGCAATGGCCAAAGAGTCCACAAGACACTTGAAAGTTTCTCAAACATGATAAATCTACCAGGTTAAACTAAATCCACAATACAGGCAATCCTCAATTTATAACAATTCACTTAGTGACTGTACAAACTTAGAACAGCACTGAAGAAAGAACATTTTTCACAGTTACAATCCTTCCCGCATCCCCATGATCACGTGATCCAAATTCAGTTGCTTGGCAACTGATTCATCTTATGACGGTTGCAGAGTCCCGGGGGGGGTCATGTGATTTATTTATTTATTTATTTATTTCATGAGACTTATATACCGCTTTAAGTGCAAGCACTCTCTAAGCGGTATACACCAGTAAGCAATGTATATATATATATTTACATTGCCCCCAACAATCTGGGTCCTCATTTTACCTACCTCGGAAGAATGGAAGGCTGAGTCAACCTTGAGCCGGTGAGATTTGAACCGCTGACCTGCTGAACACAGTCAGCTAAAGGGGCCTGCAGTACTGCACTCTAACTGCTGCGCCACCTCGGCTCATTGTTACCTTCTGACAAGCAAAGTTAATGGGGAAGCCGGATTCACTTAACAACCGTGTCACTAACTTAACAACTGGAGTGATTCACTTAACAACTTTTAAGGAAGATCGAAAAATTGGGCAAAACTCTTAGCAAATGTCTCACTTAACAACAAAAATTTGGGGCTCAGGTGTGGTCATAAGTCAAGGACTAGAGGGTTCGTCAGGGAAGAAAACTCTAGAGTTCACAAGACACAGTCCAAAGCAAAGCTCAATTTAACAACCACAGTTGGGTCTAAAATTTCCGTTGCTAAGCAAGGCTGTTGTTATGAGTTTTGTCCCGTTTTATGACCTTTCTTGCCACAGCTGTTAAGAGAATCACTGCAGTTACTAAGTAAGTAGCACAGTTGTAAAGCGAGTCTGTCTTCCCCCTTGACTTTGCTTGTCTGAAGGTTGCAAAAGGGGATGCTGCAACTGTCATTAAGTGTGAAAAACGGTCATAAGTCCCTTTTTTCCCATGAATGGTCCCGAAATCAATGGCTGTAAGTCGAGGATTACTTATATATCTTTGCAGTGTATTATATGGGCCTTGAGAAGATGCCACAAAGTTTCAGAGGTCTAATCTAATTTTTTGTTTGTTCTGTTTGCAGACGAGGAAGAAGTTCTTAATTCTATTATGAAGGACCTCGCCGCTCTTGGCAAATGCGGTGGATTTTTAGACAGCAACAGGAATAAAAACCATTCGAACAAACAGGTGAGAAATGGACCTTCCGATTCTGTCCTGCAGTTCGCACTGTTCCTGCACAACGTAAAAAGGATTAGAGCGGTGTTTTTTCAACCTTGGCAGCTTTTAAGATGGGTGGTTGTCACTTCCCAGAATTCTCCAGCCAGCCTTGCTGTCAAGATTGAGAAACAGCATGTTGGAAGTTCATAGAATGTGGCTGTTCTGGGGTTTACAGCCAAAAGAGCAGAATATTTATTTTATTTATTAATTGAATTTATATGTTGCCTAGCTCACTATCAAAAGCCACTCTGAGTGGAATGTGAAATAGACAGGACTGTTTCATTTTTGATCAACCATGTCCACTTTAAGAGGGATGGACTTCAGTTTTGGTCAATGTTGGCTACTTTAAGATGGGTAGACTTCAAATTTGAACCAGAATAGAGCTGGAGGAGACCTTAGAGATCTTCTAGTCCAGCCTCCTGCTCAAACAGGAAATCCCTTACCATTTCAGGCAAATAGTTGTCCAGTCTCTTCTTAAAATAATGATGGAGCTCCTACAACTTCTGCAGGCAAGCTGTTCCACTGGTTAATTGTCCTCACTGTTAGGAAGTTTCTCCTTAATTCCAGATTGCTTCGCTCCTTGATTAGTTTCCATCCTTTGTTTCTTGTCTTGCCTTCTGGTGCTTTGGAAAATAAGTCGACACCCTCTTCTTTGTATCACTTCCTCAAATACTAGAATACTGCTATCATGTTATCCCTAGTCGTCTCTAAACTAGCCATACACAGTTCCTCCAACCATTCTTTGTATATTTTAGTGTCCAGGCCTTTAATCATCTTAGTTACTCTTCTCTGCACTTTTTCCAAAGTCTTGTAATGTGGTGACCAAAACTGGATGCAGTATTCCAAGTATGGTCTTACTAAGGTTTTATAAAGTGGTATTAATGCTTCATGTGATTTTGATTCTACGCCTCTGTTTATACCACCAAAGATCAGCTGTTTTGGCTGCTGCCGGACACTGCCGGGTCATGTTTAAGTGATTGCCCACTAAACCTCCAAAGAGTTCTCTTTGAAGAACACCTTAGTTCTTCTGCATCTTCATGATTCCTCATCCAGTTTAGCCACCATCTATGGCCATCTTTTCTATGCTTTCGTGGTGCCCACTTGACTGTGGCTGTCCCTTCTCTTGCATCTCTCCCTGTTCTTCTGAGCATGTTTGTATCCTAGTGGGTTGGCAACTGTGATAAAGCTCAACCATCTTTGATCAATTTTGGTGAAGTTTTGCCACTTTAAGATGGGTGGACTTCAACTTCCAGAATTCTGGGAGTTGAAGTCCACCCATCTTAAAATGTTCAAGGTTGACTAACCTTTTTGTAAGAAATGGTCATCCTCTAATTTGGAAAGTGACAAGAAAAAAAAACAAAGCTTTTCACTTTTTAATATTTGGATCCTCTCCCCCCCCCCGTTCCTCCCCCCATTTTTCCTTTTCTGTTGTTTTATGTTTTATCTTTCTTTGAAATGTAATAAAGTTTATTAAAAAGCCAAGGCAGCTAACTAGACCAGTGGTTCTCAATCTGTGGGTCAGCACCCCATTTGGGGTCGAACGACCATTTCACGGGGGTCGCCAAACAACGCAGTCCACCATTTTTTTCCCCTTTTCCTTGGCTGTGCTACTCCCTTTTATTCTATTGGCTTTCAAAAGCCAATAGGAATTGTCCAGGCTGTCTCTGCCCTGCTGAGCCCGCCAAAAGTCCCATTCTGCAAATGGTGCTGCACCAGTTGAGTAGTCCTCGACTTACGACCGGTTGAGTAGTCCTCGACTTACAACCGGTTGGGGGTCGCGGCATTAAAAGGGTTGAGAACCACTGAACTAGAGGAACGTATGGTCAATTTTGGCCTCTGACCTCTTCATAGAAAAGAGCTCTGGCTGACATGTGCAAAAAGACAGTGGATCGTCGCATTAATTTTGAGACAGCTTATTTAATTTGATCCAAACCAACAATACAATCTGGAAAATTGATTTGATTTGGGGATTAAATCCAGTTGCTTTTAATTCTCTTCTCTGAGTGCCTCTGGGTCTATAAAATTCTGCTGCTAATCTTTCTGCTGTCAGCAAAGACCAAGATGCATCAAAAAACTGAATTATAGATTCTAGATTGAATAACACAAATTCTATACCAAAAAAACCCCGTCCTCCTCTTCCCATCACTATAACAACATCTGCTTGTTGACGAAAACAAACACGTAGCTGAGCTCCAGGGTGTAACAGCTCTCTGAGTTGAATTCAGCCTTATAGCAGCCCAGGCTGAAAAATGATTCAAGATGTTTAGCAAATTCACGAGGCCACTAACAGCTGTTGTAGTGGCCAATGAGCCAATAATGCTTTGATTGACAGGTGGAATTAATTTTTTATGGAAACTGATGCACCGGAGAGGGTGGGGAGCAGGCAGAACTTGGCAAGCATCATCTTGGGATAACTTGAGAAAAGTTGGGGAGTTTCCAGAGATGAAACATTCCTTACAAAGACCACACATTCTTTTGAATTACTGATAGACCTTGACTTAACAACATTTTGTTTAGTGACTTTTCGACATTACGACGGCACTGAAAAAATGGTCACACTGATCACCATTGCAGCCTCCCCATGGTTACGTGATCAAAATTTGGACACTTAAGAACTGATTCATGTTTACAACGGTCACAGCGTCCAGGGATCATGTGATCTCCTTTTGCGACCTTCTGACAAGCAAAGTCAATGGGGAAGCCGGATTCACTTAACAACCGTGTTACTAATTTAATAACTGCAACGATTCACTTAACAAATGTGGCAAGGATGGTTGTAATATGGGGCAAAATTCAGTAAACGAATGTCTTGCTTAGTGACAGAAACTTTCAGCTCAATTGTGGTTGTAAATCAAGGAAGACCTGTATCTATTGGAGTTGGGAGGCTGATCAAATAAATACAGATAAAATATAGATAGTCCTCGATTTACGATTATGAGAGTTTGGAAAAAATTCAGAGAAGAGCAACTAAGATGATCCAAAGCCTGGAGACTAAAACATGGGAAGAACAGTTGTAGGACATAGGTTTGGCTAGTCTAAAGAAAAGAAGAAACAGGAGAGAAATGATAGCAGTATTCCGGTATTTGAAGGGCTGCCACAAGGAAGAGGGGGTCACGTTATTCTCCAAAGCACTAGAGGGCAGGAAAAGAAACAATGGTTGGAAACTGATCAAAGAGAGAAGCAACCTGGAATTAAGGAGAAACTTCCTGACAGTGAGGACAATTAACCAGTGGAACTGCTTGCCTCCAGAAATCGTGGGTGCTCCATCACTGGAGATTTTTAAGAAGAGGCTAGACAGTCACTTGTTTGAGAAGGTATAGGTTCTCCTGCTTGAGCGGGGGGCTGGACTAGAAGACCTCCAAGGTCCCTTCCAGCTTCTATTCTATTCTATTCCATTCCATTCCATTCCATATTTTCTATTCTATTCCATTCCATTCTCTATTCTATTCCATTCCATTCTCTATTCTGTTCTATTCTGTTCTGTTCTGTTCTGTTCTGTTCTATTCTATTCCATTCTATTCCATTCCATTCCATTCCATATTTTCTATTCTATTCTATTCCATTCCATATTTTCTATTCTATTCTATTCTATTCCATTCCATTCTCTATTCTATTCTATTCTATTCTATTCTATTCTATTCTATTCTATTCCATTCTACTCTACTATTCTATTCTATTCTATTCTATTCTATTCTATTCTATTCTATTCTATTCTATTCTATTCTATTCTATTGATCTCCCTTTTCCTTCAAACTTTTTCTCTTGTCTGTTTATCTTAATCTTTTATTTTTGAAAATCAATAAAGTTATGAAATTAAAGAACTACAGCAGGCCGAAGAACACCATGTGTTCCAACACCAATTAGCTGTTGGAACACATGGTGAAATTCATGACCCGTAGGTATAATTAATCATAGTTTCAACAGGGAAATGATCAGCATCGTAGATCAAGCCAAGTCCCCCAAACACCAGAGAATGCCTAGAAGCCTGGCACTCAGACAAAACTGCCATCACCAGGCACAAAGAGATAAGCAACATTTGCACACCATTCAAAAGAATAATAAAAAAGTTTCTTTTTTAAAAAAAGAAACAAATAGACTAGAATTTCAGCGCAATCAAGGAAATATTAAGGAGAAAAACCATATTGCCTCCAACGAGGGTAATTTTATCTCTTAGCTTCTCTGGATCACACCAGAGTGCAGCAAAATTTCGAAAGCTGGACTCTACTGATGAAGATGACGAAGGGATCTGTTCAAGGCTGGTTCAGGAAGGACCGGGATGCAAAATGGACACAGCCTGATTGTGGTTGTCGTTTCCCCTTCTCATTGGGCCTCTTTTTTGCCCATGCTTGTTTTTCTAGCAAGTCGGGGGGGGGGGGAGTTTTACCCAGCACTATTTCTCTGAAGCCTCACTCATATTTTTCTTCTCGCCAGCCAACTGCTGTTGTGTATGTTGCCTGGTGTGTTTCCCCTGGCCCTTAACGAAAGAAGGTCACTGTTATTGTTTCACGGTGAAGAAAGAGGATGCAGCTATTATGTTTCCTCTCTTCTGGAGTTGCTTTTCTCCATTTCCAGCAACAGATTGTTCCAAAACGGAGCTGTTCTGCTCAACACACACACACACACACACACACACACACACACAGAAATGGCATTGGGTCTTAAGGACTGTCCAACTGAGTGGAGATACAAGCAAGTTTCTTTGCAAGGCAGATCTGAATGACATCTCTTTATTTAGACCAGCGGTTCTCAACCTTTCTAATGCCGCGACCCCTTAATACAGTTCCTCATGTTGTGGTGACCCCCAGCCATAAAATTAGTTTCGTTGCTATTTCATAACTGTAATTTTGCTACTGTTATGAATCGCAGTGTAAATAACTGATATGCAGGATGTATTTTCATTGTTACAAATTGAACATAATTAAAGCATAGCGATTAATCACAAAAACAATACGTAATTATATATTGTTAAA